CACATTCTTAGGCTTGCGCACTGCAAACTGCTTTCTTTAAAGTCCCACTCAGAGGTTATCACATCGGATTTAAGTCTGGTGACTGCGATGGCCATCCAAAATGTTCCAGCCTTTTCCTCTGCAACCATGTCTCTAGTGGACTTGGAGGTATGCTTGGGATCATTGTCCTGTTGAAAGGTCCAACGTCTCCCAAGCATCGGTGTGTGACGGGACTGCATCACACGTTTCCATCCAATATCTCTCTGGGTACTGAAGAGAACATTCATGGTACCTTGCAACACGCTGAAAGCTCTCCCTTGTACCTGCAGAAGCAAAACAGCCCCAAAGCATGATTGACCCTCCACACCATGCTTCACCAGTAGCGCAAGGTGTACTTCTTTTCATCCATAGCGCCTTGTTCTTCCTCCTCCACCCAACCATAGCGTTGATCCATGGGCCCAAACAGTTCTAATTTTAGTTTCATCAGTCACACGAACACTATCCCACAACTTTTGTTGGTTTGTCCAACATGGCTTTTGGCATACTGCAGTCGACTCTTCTTATTCTTTGGAGACAGCAAGGGGGTACGCTGGGAGTTCATGGGCACGGAGGCCTTCATTACGCAGTTAAGTGGTGCGTCTTAATTGTCTGGCTGAAACTTCTGTACCACCACATCTGACAAATATCTTTCTCAGTTCCTCAGCAGTCACACGGGGACTTCTCTCCACTTCTACGCTTCAGGTAGCGCACAGCAGTCGATAGTCAGCATCTTCTTTCTGCCACGACCAGGTAGCGTTTCAACAGTGCCCTTGCCTTGAATTTGCGAATGATGCTTCCTAAGGGTGTCTCTTGGTATGTTTAACATCTTTGCAATCTTCTTATAGCCCATTGCCCTTCCTGTGAAAGAGAAAATCAACCTCTTCCTCTTGTCTTTCCTGGACCATTCTCTTGCCTTCACCATGTTTGTAACCTACACCAGGTAAATGTCTAGAAGGAGCTGAGTATCACAGTCATTTTAAAGCTGCCTAATTGGTGCTTATTATGCTTGATTGCTGCTCGGTGACATCCAACAGGTGTTTTTCAATACCTGAAGGAAAGCACCTAGTATGAACCTCTGTTCTTCAGAGTGGTAGTCTTTAAGGATGGGTTGAATAATTGTGGCAATGAAGAGAAACCACATAAGAACCATTTACTACTGTATTAGACATAAACAATTGATGTCATTTTAGTTGCATTTGGGTAGTTACAACGTCCTTGTAGGATTTGATTCTGGAATACAATTCCAAATGTACACTATAGTCCCTAAAACCCCTTTACAGCATTGGGGGCGTTGAATAATTTTTTGGACACAACTGGTATTATACATGGGACATCTCACACATAAAGAGCGGATGATACCAATTTATTTGAGATGCAGCCATTTTTAAAGAAACATATTGAAGGAAAGGAGAACATATACCATTTGAGAAGATCTGCCTTAAAACATTGAACAAACGTCTCACCATATATGTCGTCTGATCTGCTATAGTGTGGGCAAAAGAATGACACAGTCATACATTCTTTGCAATATTTTGCAACATTGTATGGACATAGACAAAGTTGTCAGATCCTTAATATGTTATATACTAATAATAATAATAATAACAAAAATAAGCAAAACAATGGTGGCCAGGCTAGTTGGGGACACTGACTACAATTCTAGATGCCATCACTAGAGGGGTCACCGGCAGATGAAGGAGGTCCTGATTCCTCTATAGTGATCTTTATATCATTAGAGGGGTCCCCGGCCATGAGGAAGGAGGTCCCTGATTCCTCTATATAGATCTTTATATCACTAGAGGGTAGATCTCACGGCAGAAGGAAAGGAGGTCCCGATTCCTCTATATAAGATCCTATCACTAGAGGGGTCACTGGCAGGAGGAAGGAGGTCATAGATTCCTCTATATAGAATCCTATCTCTAGAGGGGTCACCGGCAGAAGGAAGGAGGTCCCCGATTCCTCTATATAGATCCTATCACTAGAGGGTCACCGGCAGGAGGAAGGAGGTCCTGATTCTCTATAGTGATCTTTATATCATTAGAGGGTCCCCGGGCAGGGAGGAAGGAGGTCCTGATTCCTCTATATAGATCCTATCACCTAGAGGGGATCACCGGCCGGAGGAAGGAGGTCCTGATTCTCTATATAGATCTTTATATCACTAGAGGGGTCAACCGGCAGCAGGAAGGAGGTCCTGATTCCTCTACAATAGATCTATATATCACTAGAAGGGGTCACCGGCAGCAGGAGGAAGGAGGTCCTGATTCCTCTATATAGATTCTTTATATCACTAGAGGTATCACCGGCAGGAGGAAGGAGGTCCCGATTCCTCTATATAGATTCCTATCACTAGAGGGGGAGTCACTGGGCAGGAGGAAGGAGGTCCGGATTCCTCTATATAGATCCTATCACAGAGGATCACCCGGCAGGAGGAAGGAGGTCCTGATTTCCTCTATATAGATCTTTATATCACTAGAGGGATCACCGGGCAGGAGGAAGGAATGGTCCTGATTCCTCTATAGAGATCTTTATATCATTAGAGGGGTCCCGGCAGGAGGAAGGAGGTCCGGATTCCTCTATATAGATCTATACTAGAGGGGTCACTGGCAGGAAAGGAAGGAGGTCCTGATTCCTCTCAGAACTATATAGATACTTTTATATCACCATTCAGGAGGGGTCACCAGCAGAGGATGAAACAAGGAGGTCCTGATTACCCATATAAGATCTATTAGTTAGACCTCATTTAGAATACTTGAATACTGTGTCCAGTTATGGAGGTCTAACTTACAAAAAAGATATTGATAACATAGAACAAGTCCAGAGACAAAAAAGGTGAAAGGTCTGGGGGGATAAAACATATCAAGAGCGACTTCAGGAACATGACATGTCCAGTCTGGAGGAAAGAAGGAAAAGGGAGACATGACTGAAAGCTTTAAATACATCAAGGGGGTGAATAAGGTTCAGGAGGGCAGGATTTTCAACACAAAAAACCAAAATCAAGAACACGGGAACATGACCTAACTGGAGGAAAGTTCAATACTAGTCTCAGCAGAGAGTACTATTTACTGCAAGAGTAGTTGATGCTTGGAATAAACTTCCAGCAAGAGGTAGTGAGCCAGTCAACAGTAAATGGCACATGTTTCAAACATGCTCAGGACAAGCATAGATCTATACTTAGACAAGAAAAAAAGAAACAAAAAAACACACCCCCCCCCCAAACAAAAAACAAAACAACCCCCCCCCCAAAAAAAAAAAAAAAATTAATGGACAGACTCATTCTTGGTCTTTTTTTTGCCGTCACTTTTCTATGTTTCTGTGTTAACAGACACACACATTGTGCTTCTCATTCTGGATCATAATAGTAAACATGTAAGAATCAAATAGGACTTTATAGATAAATAAATGCAAACAACAAGTACAGAATCTTATATACAATTTTTTATTAGTTATGAAAATCATGAATACCTATATAAAATATACCAAAAAAGACACGGGGCAGGAAAATATGTCAGAGAAATCATGAGTCCTAAAGAGATGAAGAGGATAGAGGTTCACATTGCAGTAATTAAAATACGACCAGGGATGTTGTGGGGAATTTCTAAAATGGTTGGCTCCTCCTTCCGTTCTCTTAAGCAGTGAGGTTTATTTAGTTTTTTTCCCCACAAATTTATTGACCTAACTTACTTGTATTGAAGGATGAACCCACACTGTTCTGACAGCTGGAACCTGTGGAAAATAGTGCCTGGTCTTCTTTCTGGCACTGAACTTCTGGCTCTACAGGGGTTAATAGGTTCAGGTCTTTAGGCTGAATTCAATAGAAGTAGCTCCTGATGAGGACCCGCCCCTCTCCTACCCCTTTTATCAAATCAGAAAAGCCCATGCATAGTGTATACTTCATGTAACATGCTCTGGGAATGGGGGAGAGTCTGATGAATGACAGGATTCTCTTCTCAATTTACATGTTGCATGCAGTGAAATTAATGTGTAAGTTCTTCTTGAGAGGGGAGGAGGGGATGGGCCCCATTGGGAGCTTCTTCTATTGAGTTCAGGCTAGAGACCTGAACTTAACCCCCACAACACCAGATGTTCAACAGCAGGAAGAGGACTGGGGCCATGTACAGAGTATTTCCATATGACTTAGCAGCCTGCACAACATGGGCCATCCATCTCAGAGCTGCGGTTAGAAACCATGGGGCACCATACAGCCTACCTGACAGCCCCCCCCCCCCCCAACAAAAAACACAGTTTACTATGCTTCAGTTATGTATGAACTCAATGAGTGACCGGTATCAGTATCACACTTTGAGTGACAATTACTCAGTCATACAACACTGTACCCATTTGACATTTTTATCCTTTTTTTGAGACAGATCGAGCTTTCTTTTGGTGGTATTTGATCACCACTGGGTTTTTTTATTTTTTTGCTATATAAAGGAAAAAATACCGAAAATTTTGAAAAAAAAAATTTTTTTTGTTTCGCTTTTGTTAGAAAATTTTGCAAATAGAAACTTTATCAACTTTTATATTATGCTACATTTTTTGGGTAAAAATAACCTAAAACAGTCTATATTTTTTAGTCTGTGTGAAAGCTATAAAGTCTACATACTATGGGATATATATTTGAAAATTGATCAGTTGAGGTCCTAAAATGCAGGACACTGGTATGGCATATAGCAGTGATTAGGACGCTGGTATGGGGTATTGTGATGATTAAGGCATTAGCATGAGGTATGGCAGTAGCAAGGACACTATTATGGGGTAGGACTGTGATCAGAATGCTGCAATAGGGTAAGACGGTGATCAAAACACTGATGTGGGGTATGGTGGTGATCAGGGTGTTGGTATGGGGTATGGGGGTGATCAGGATGCTGGTATGGGGTATGGTGGTGATCAGGACGCTGGTATGGGGTATGGCAGGATCAGGACACTATGGGGGGAGGTGATCAGGATGCTGTATGGGATATGGTGGTGATCAGAACGCTGATATGGGGTATGGCGGTGATCAGGACAGTGATGCATGGTATGGGGTATGGCGGTGATCAGGACACTAGTATGGGGTATGGTGGCAGTGATCAGGACATGGTATGGGGTGTGGCGGGTGATCAGGATGCTGGTATAGCATATGGAGTGATCAGGTTGATCAGGATGCTGGTATGGGGTATGGCAGTGATGAGGATGCTGGTATGGGTATGGCAGTGATCAGGATGCTGGTATGGGGTATGGCAGTGATCAGGACGCTGGTATGGGGTATGGCGGTGATCAGGATGCTGGTATGAGGTATGGCAGTGATCAGGATGCTGGGTATGGGGATCAGGATGGCAGTGATCAGGATCAGGATGCTGGTATGGGGTATATGGCAGTGATCAGGATGCTGGTATGGCTGGTATGGGGTATGTGAGGTGACCATGGGGGTATGGCTGGTGATCAGGATGCTGGTATGGGGTATGGCTGTGATCAGGATGCTGGTATGGCATATGGGATGATCAGGTTGTTGGTATGGGGTATGTGGGTGACCAAGAAGCTGGTATGGGGTATGGCGGTGATCAGGATGCTGGTATGGGGTATGGCGGTGACCAGGGTGCTAGTATGGGGTATGGCGGTGATCAGGATGCTTGTATGGGGTATGGCGGTGATCAGGATGCTGATATGGGGTATGGCGGTGATCAGGACACTGATATGGGATATGGCGGTGACCAGGGTGCTGGTATGGTGTATGGAGGTGATAAGAGTGCTAGTATGGCATAAGGCAGTGATCAGGGTGTTGGTTTGGGGTATGCCAGTGATCAGGACATTGGTATGGTGTATGGTGGTGACCAGGGTGCTGGTATGGTGTATGGAGGTGATCGGGGTGCTGGTATGGCATATGGCAGTGATCAGGGTGTTGGTTTGGGGTATGCCAGTGATCAGGAAATTGGTATGGTGTATGGGGGTGTTTTGTGTGCACTGGGACAGGTGACAGGGGCCTCCCTGCATTATTATGGGCATTGTGATGCAGTGTTTAGGGACACTGGGGCACTGGGGTGGCTTGCATTGCAGTGTGTGTGTGTGTAGAAGCAGACTGACAGGCTTCTGTACACTCACACACTGAAGGATCACTTTTCTCTACTCACACACACTGAGAGCAGAGAGAAGCGATCTTTACTTTCAGTTTCAGTGTTTACTTGATTGGTCACAGCAGTCACATGGCAAAACATCATGTGATCGCCCAAACACAGCGGTAATGTGATCCGCTGTGTCTGGGCGACACACCAATCCCCGGGCTCCAGGGTGAGAGTTCTGTGAGCTGTGCACGAGCCTTCGATACGGGCTGACATACAGGAATGTCAGCCCTCATCAGCGCTGCGTCCCGTCCGCCATCTATGTACAATGGGTAACGGCACTGCTTCCCGTCCGCCATCTATGTACAATGGGTAAACGGCACTGCTTCCCGTCCGCCATCTATGTACAATGGGTAGACGGCGCTGCTTCCCGTCCGCCATCTATGTACAATGGGTAGATGGCGCTGCTTCCCGTCCGCCATCTATGTACAATGGGTAGACGGCGCTGCTTCCCGTCCGCCATCTATGTACAATGGGTAGACGGCGCTGCTTCCCGTCCGCCATCTATGTACAATGGGTAGACGGCGCTGCTTCCCGTCCGCCATCTATGTACAATGGGTAGATGGCACCTGCTTCCCGTCCACCATCTATGTACAATGGGTAGACGGCGCTGCTTCCCGTCCGCCATTCTATGTACAATGGGTAGACAGCGCTGCTTCCCGTCCACCATCTATGTACAATGGGTAGACGGCGCTGCTTCCCGTCCGCCATCTATGTACAATGGGGTAGACAGCGCTGCTTCCCGTCCACCATCTATGTACAATGGGTAGACGGCGCTGCGTCCCGTCCACCATCTATGTACAATGGGTAGACGGCGCTGCGTCCCGTCCGCCATCTATGTACAATGGGTAGACAGCGCTGCTTCCCGTCCGCCATCTATGTACAATGGGTAGACAGCGCTGCTTCCCCGTCCACCATCTATGTACAATGGGTAGACGGCGCTGCTTCCCGTCCGCCATCTATGTACAATGGGTAGACTGGAAGAGGTTAACACCTTCCCAGCCAGTGTCATTAGTACAGTGACAGTGTATATTTTAGCACCAATCACTGTATTAGTGTCACTGGTTCCCACAAAGTGTCAGTTAGTGTAAAAATGTCCGCCGCAATATCGCAGTCCCACTATGAGTCGCTGATTGCCACCATTACTAGTATTACAAAAAAATTATTAAATATTCCAGTATATATCCCATACTTTGTAGAAGCTATAAACTTTTTGAGCAAAACTAATCAATATACACTTATTGGGATTTTTTTTTATCAAAAATATGTAGCAGAATACTATCTGCTGTTCTACACCTCAAGTTTCATCCATGGTCGATTAGTATTGGAGGATGCCTATGGCCCAAGGAGTAGACCATAATAACCACATTCACATTACAAGGCTACAATATCTAGTAATAGAAATGCTGCAGCTCCACTCCCAAAACAATTAGAAATGTATGAGTCCATCTGGGGCCAAACATTCCCCATCTCTCCTTCCACTGGTGCGTGTATATAGAAGTTATGCTATAAGGAGCAGAGAGGACTATTATCGGGGCCAGTACTATGTACATGGTGGGAATACCTTCATAGGGACATTTCACCACTGCCAAACCAATTCGTTATAATACAAGCACACAAATCCAAAAGCCAAACACATGGCACTTATTATCAGTATCATCTTCCCAGTTGCAGATCTGAAAGAAAACAAAGAGAAGAAAATATGAGTTTCTTGCATGCCTCTTATTATGTTTATTCTCAAGTAAAGGTGACCACACATCACAATCTGATTGTACAATCTAATCAATCTCTATTAGGGCCCATGTTGATGAGTGTCGCTGATACTAGTTGATGCCTGTGCAGCAAAATGCTGGCCTGCTTTTCGGGCTAATGCTTCCAAAAGGACCTTCTGCCTTCAGCAAGAGCTGCAAAGCAAAGCAGGTCAAACACAGCTTCAGAACTGTCATCCACATTACACCAATAATGTGGAATCCCTGCTTTATTTTTTCCTCCCTTTCCATGTTGTCAAGATTCTACTTACCCTCTCCATGCTGCAGTTCCATCCCTGGATTTCTCCTCAGTCCATCTCCAGCCATCGTCTTTGGGCATTCTGACCATTTCCTGCAAGTCCAGCCCTTCATTTCTATGCCCCTTAGGGGCCTAGTCATTGCTCGGGCTGGGCTCACAGTACATCAGGACTGAGTGGCACTCGCAGACCATTACATGAGTCTTGATAAAGCCAGCCATACATGGATCGAAATTCTGCCAGTTTAGCAGGGTCCAGGTGAATTTCGATCCGTGTGTGGCCCCTGTGGTTCAATCTACTGAACAACTTCTGTACAGCTCCCCTGTTGGATTTTAGCCACTTGATTAGTCCTGAAGGGTATAGTCAGTGTATTCTGATGGTGGGGAAGTCTTCCTGCTGTCAGAATACAATAGCCCAGTGGGGAGGACTCCCGCATTCACATTTGTATGTGTGGATGCAAAAATCGGGTTAAGTTTTTTCTTTGTTAAGAATGAAAAAAATCCTGACCCATCTATGGCCCGCTTTTGTCCTGGAAAAATGTTTCCCACCTTCCCTCTTAGCCATTGCTGGAGATAGAATAGCAAGTACTGAAAATGTCATAAGACCAACAAGAGGACTGCAGGAGCAAAGGCATGTATAGGGTTAAAAAAAATATATGTAGGCAGGTACAGGTGTAGTTTTGCCTTCCTGCACAGGTGCCACCATACAGGCAGAAAAAAGGACCTCACATTCCTCTTAGACCTCCATAGGGGTCATCAGGTGAGAGGCTGTCTTATTGGACGTTGCTGCCTTGGATGACCTTGTGACCATCTTTAGCGAGGGTAATGCTTATAAAGGTACCGACCTCTAATGGTTGGAACACATTTTGCATGTGATTAGGTCAGGGACAGGAACCCGCTGGTCAGGGAGAGTTTTCCTAACATATAGAGAGGTTCCAGTGGAGGAGGAACAGAATACTGGTTGCCAGTTCATCAATGTGGAGCTTTTCCACTGCCACTCCTTGTTGCACCACTGCCTGCCTGCGAGGTGCTGTCGGCATGCGAGTGTCGTTGTCCGCAAGGGCAGCATAGCTCACTGTGAGTATGACTGTACTGTGTTGTTGGAACTTTCACATCAATACACTTTGTTGCAAACTTGAATCTCTGTGTGTCTTCCTTCTCTCTGGGTATCCAGTACCAGTCCCCTCCCGCAAGCTGGTGGGAGGGCTTTGGGAGATGGGGTGTTATATGCCTGAAGGTCCACTTTAAAGTAAATAGTAATCTGTAGATTTCTGTTATATCCAATCAGATAGGCTCTCACACTGCATCAAGTAATTGTTAGGTAATCTGAAGGAGATGAAGCCATGTGATCAGCATGCAGGGCTGAGGAATAAAATGTACTTTTTATTGAATACCAATATATAATTATGTCAACGCAGTGCTGAAGAGCAAAAAATGTCCCGATCATGAAGGGGGTAAAACCTTCCAGGTGTTAAGTGGTTAAAGCTGAACTTAGAATTTGAATTATCTGATTAGAATTTGCGTTCTCTGGTAGAGGAGAGGAGACCCTACAACTGTGTAAGACTGAAGGGAAGGCTAGAGAAAGGATTTTACTTGTTTTAATAAACTAACAGAGACTGGGGGGGGGGATTGGAAGGGGTGTTGGTGGTCTGATGGAAGCGACTCCTACTCTGGACCTTTCCTTGAAAAACAGTGCTATATTGTTATTATCCATTACTAATGTATTCACCAACAATTCAGTAAAATAAAATGTCTCAATTAGAATGTAATTTTCTTCCATGAGAGATCAATAATGGAGGACACATATACATCTTCATGATGCAAGATCGGTACTTACCATTCCACGATTTGTGTTTATCAGTAATGGAGATTGCTGGGCTGCTGTCAAAACAAAAATCTGTATTTCAGCTAAATTCACCACTGAGAATAAAATGTACATTGTGTGATCGTCATCGAGACAGCTACAGTACATGACCGGAGCTGAAAAGGTTGAACCTATACGGGGCTAACTGATCTTGCAACCCATAGCGATCCGCAGGATCAGCTTCAGCGGTTTGCAGCCTGTAAGGGGTTAACTGTGGCAGCTCTGTGCTAAAGTCGGAGATTCGCTTCTTCAGCCTGAAACCGGCACATGCGCAGTTGCTTCAGGGGATACATATCTTCACGGGATACTCAATTTACCGCCACACTGGGGGGTAGCTGTCACTGTTTCGGGAATCCAAGATCACCCCAATAACTGGCCAGGACCTTCACAGAGTCCAGAAGCTCTGCTGGCATCCTGCTCCTGCACCCCCTGTGAGGGTGTCACCCGGTGCGGCCCGCACCCCCGCACCCCTGCACCCCATAGAGATGTCACTGCTGAGTAGGTCCCCCTTTTGCTGCCAAAACAGCCCTGACCCTTGAGGCATGGACACCACTAGACTTCTGAAGGGATGCTGTGGTATCGGCACCCAAGCCGTCAGTAGAAGATCCTTTAAGTCCTGTAAATTGGTAGTGGGGCCTCCATGAATCGGACTTCTTTTTCCAGCACATCCCACAGATGCTCGATTGGATTGAGATCTGGAGAATTTGATGTATGAAATGAACAGGGTCTATAACGTGGACAATATAAAAAAACGATTGATTGGCGCTCAACACATGTTCCCACTATCCGAGAATGGTTTGCTAGGATCAACTAAATTGAGGAAATGGAGGAACT